GGCAGAGCCCCCGCTGGCCGTGGGAACGCGGGCTTTGGGCTGGGCTGGGCTGGGCTGGGCTGCGCCCGGCGAGTGCGGCCGTTTGGTGTCCGTCCCCCCGGGGAAGGGTCGCATCACCCGGGGGGGCATCGCGGCTGCAAGATATCAGCGGTTGGGTCGGGGACGGCGCTTTGCAGCTTAGCGTGTGAGTGCTGCGTCGTGTGAACGCTGCACGCGGGTTAATCAAGGGTGTTGCGGGAGCGCCGCCGCCGCCGCCTTGTCCGTCTGTCCCTGGAGAAGTAATTTCCTTTGCATTCCCTGGGAAATGGCTCTGAATCATTACCGGCCCATTAGCTTGGCGCGCATATCCTGCCCAGCAACCTTTCGGTTGACCCCGATGGACCGAAGAAGTGAGCCTCGTCCGGGTTTGCATTATACAATTACAGACCCTGATTTCTAAAACGCAGTGGTTACAATCACAAAGTGGACCCAGTCACAAACCAGGTTTAGATTGATGGGTGAATCCACGGTCGCTCCGAAATTGCCCTCCCTTTAAATCCAGTTTACTGTTAATACGTTTGGGGGGCGGGAATAAACAGAATTCCTCCTCTTGTCAGTGAAGAGCACCCGTAACAGCAACCAACAAAAAAAGATTTAAAAGCCGAAAGGATTCAAGGTGAGCTGTTGAGGCTTGAGTTTTCCTTCTCCCTCCCCGAGTGTTTTCCTTCGGTGTTGTGCCTTTATCAACTGCAGGCACAAAAGCAGGGGCCAGCTTTTGGCTGGTTTGTAATTTGTAAATCTGCTTGAGAGGCTTGCAGGCTGGAGGGCTGCTTAAATAAAAGAAACGTCCAAGAGGTGATGGTTGTGGTGGTTTTATTCCAGGATAAATACCCCTGGCTTGCTGTTCTGGTTTGAAATGATTGGGAATGACCAGTGTTTTTCGACCTTGGCTGCTTTAAGAAGTGTGGACTTCAACTCCCAGGATTCCCCAGCCAGCCATGCTGGCTGGGGAATCCTGGGAGTTGAAGTCTACACATCTTAAAGTGGCTGAGATTGTCATTCCCAGTGTTTTTCAACATGGCTGACCCCCACCATTATCCCCAAACCATGGTTTCCCTAGCTAAGCCAAACCATGGTTTCCCTAGCTAAGCCAAACCATGGTTTCCCTAGCTAAGCCAAACCATGGTTTCCCTAGCTAAG